TTGCGACTTCAGCAGCCGCGTACATAGCGATAGGTAGTACCGCAATACTTTGTTATTAATCGTCTATCTGTAAAGCTTTTTACAAAGTACTAAAATGAGCAAATATTTTCGATCTGCAGTTCTTCAGTTTTGAAATTGACTGAAATATCAGCACATTTCAAATTTCCACTTTCTCGGTAATCGATTAACTAAAGATGTTGGTATCAATGAACTAGCCGGTGTACTCGGTTTCCCGGGTGCTTTTCAGCACAACCTAAAAATTATTCCTCTTCTACACAAGGCTACCTTATCCTTGCCACGTCAAGTCTCCCCCCCCCCGGGCCCTTATCCCGGTTTAGTGACCAGAAGATTGGCACAGTGCATGTTCTTGCACAACTTTCAATAATGTAATCATGCTAAATTGTGGACAGTGACCGCTTTTACGCTATTAGACCCCAACAAATCGGCTCTCAAATGCATATGTTAACCCTTGTAGGACTCTCGAAGTAGGAAAAAACAGATGGCTGTATTTTCAGTTTTTTGGTTGTAAATCCATACGGTAAGCAAGCTGGATGTTGCGAATTTCTAAACTTACGCAGAAGTACATGGTGGTAAGAAAAGACTTTCACTTTTGCCGGAATTTAAAACTCAGCTTTTCTGCTAGTGTGATATTAGGCTGAAAACTAAGTTTTGCAACTGGTTTCATAACTTCACTCTCTTTGGGTATGGCGCATTCAAACTTTGGCATTGTGTAGAAGACAATATGAGCTACAAGTGAGTACAGATTGTCTAGATTTTGAACACGAAATAGCAAAGTTTCATGCGTTTTTCGAAAACTAATTTGAGAATTTTTGGGGTTTCAAGCTAAAATGAAGCCTTTGGCAGCCTAGACCATGCGCAGTAATCCGGATTCGTCTACAAATTTTTGCTAAAGGTTGACTTCTCTGACCTATTAAAAAGAAACAAAATTTAGGGGCATGTCGAGATTTGGCGTCCTCATAAAGTCGAACGAGTCGATGTACGCAAGAGCTGCTGGGGACGACCGTCAATGACTAAAGAGTCCGAAGCTCAAATTTTGCCGAGACTTTACAGTAAGGTTGTTTGACCTGCCAAACGCGAATATCACATTCGGTTGTTGAATCAACGCCTTTTCCTTGTTTAGGGTGAGACCCCATATCGTACACCTACAGTAATCCTACAAAAAAGCCCTTATCACACAATTTCACTATCGTTTTCGTGATCAGCATGTCGGATAACACCCCTATGTCAAGTTTTAGCCAAATCCGCCAAGCTTTGAGTTTTTCCCCTTCATACCATGCACCTACCGTAACTCTCATTGCGACGTCAACATTTGGTAGGACGCAGCTGCGCTTGTAGCTTACGTAATAACCAACGCAGTGGCAAAATTTGAGTGCGCCATGTTGAGTGAGAGGGAAATTATGACAGTTGCAAAACTTAGTTTCCAACCTAATACAGGGTGTCCCAAAAAACGTATCGAACGTTTGATCGTTAATATCTCTCTTCCCAAGAAGTCTTTTGCCTTGCTTCAGGATCCGTTTTGTAGAGCTGGCTTCAGCTTAGATCTACATTATAGAACGAATCACCCATCTCTCTTCTCTACTCTAGGATTACGGTAGAAACTTGAAACATATGGTGTCAATGCGGAGAAAGCTGCCGTTTCAAAATTTTTCAAAAAAGTGTGAAAACTTGTGTATTGAGGTTTTTATGGAGTTCAATATTCAACTATTCACAAGATTACGAAGCTTTCTAAACGTTGTAACCGCACTTTTTACGGACATTGAAAAAATGGCCGCTACTTCTTACCTAACATAACTCTTCAATAAAGCATCATAACAAATTGGGAACTTTACAGTTATAATCAGCAACTCCAATTAGATTAGTGTAGAAGTTTTCAGGCTGTTTTGTTTCCTTTCTAGGGCAAAAGATGGCCTTTCATTGCTTAAAACCCTTTTTGAAGTTTTTACCGTAATCCTACAGTAATAAAGAGAGATGAGTGATTCGTTCTATAACGCTAATCTAAGTTGAAGCCAGCTCTACACATTGGTACCTGAAGCAATGGAAAAGACTTCTTCAGAAGAGATATATTAACGATCAAACGTTCGACACATTTTTTTGGAACACCCTGTAGATTGAGATAAGGCGAATTAGTGTTTGTCGCCTGCCTCGCCAATGCTCTCATAAAGATGTTCAAAAGCGTATGCACCGAACGGAAGGATACCGGTTCTTTCTAATGGAATGAAACAGTTTAATGTTATAACTTTTTTGATTGTAGACGTATTCTTCCAATTTTTAAGAAATGACCAACGAACTGACGGAGGAAAGTGTACAAGTTGGCATTCTCACGAAGATAATCTGCCATTAATTTTGCTGTTCCATCACTCCGCCATGTCTATCGCCTGAGTTACAAACATACAGTAAAAAGATGGTGATATTTACTTTTGCATAAAGAAAAATGTTGCAACGGCAATCTCCTTACTGATGCCCTTTCTTCGAGTTTTCAATGTCAAGTCTGTAAAATTATACAGAATCATGAACCACTGCACGACAATCCAGGCCTTAATCAGCAACAAGCAATTGGCATCATTTGGTATCTTGATAATCAAAAAGCGTTTGATATAGGTGCTTGGCACTTTCTATTAGGTCGTTTCAAAAGTTCTTTCACTATTTTCGACCTATCATAAAAACACTTGGAATGAAGATAGGGAAAAGCTTCAGGCACTGTTGACTCATCTTTGCTTTCTCTTTTCAGCTGTCACATTTCTGTGCCGCTTGCTTTTGTGGTCAGTGGGATAATGGCCGAAATTTCGAGCCCATGGTTTTCACCATGTCCAACTTTGACATTTTTCACAAACTTCCTTTTTGACTTTTGGAAAAGCTTCGATAGCAGCCAGGTAAAGTAAACAAAGTGCAATGCAATGCAAGTTTTCGGCATCTATAGCTAGCTTTGAGAAATTTTTAGAATTATTTTTCTGATGCTATCAAATTCCATTTTTGGGGATGCCAAGAGCCCTAGAACATAAAACGGCGCACAGCTAGGGTGTCATTCGATGCAGATTTTACTCCTTTTTTTGATGAGTGTTCTTTCTTTTCAGTTTGTAAGGTTTTTGGCAATAAAATTCCCATAATTCTTGATTTCAAACCGGCTTAAGGGTGTACACGTGAAATAAACCTTCTATTGCGAAGCGGTAAACGCTCAGTTACTTTGCAGAAATAGTGGGCAATCATAAACGACTTTGAAAGTTTTAAAATCCAAAGATTTATTAATGTGGAGCTTCTGTGCGTTTCCTGACTTCGAAAAATTGAAGAATTCTAGAAAACTTATCTCAAAAAATACTGAGAAGCAAGATGAAATTGCAAGAAAATTGCATTGCACTTTGTCAACTCTACCCGACTACTATCGAAGCTTTTCCAAAAGTCAAAAGAGAAGTTTATGAAAAATTGCCAAAGTTGGACATGATAAAAACCATGGGTTCGAAATATTCATTCCAAGCGTTTTTATGATAGGTTAAAAAAAGTGAAAGAACTTTTCGAACAACCTAATATATTTGGTTGTACCGAAATTTCGTTCGCACCATTTTCAAAAATTCATAACTCTTTAAATTCTCAACGAATTTGTACGATATTGCTGAAGAGAGGAACTCATTCTCTTTGCATCTTACCTGAATTGTTTGTTAATGTCTAAAAACGAAAAAGGTAGAGGCTCAACCTAATATTGTACAATCTAATATTTACCTATGAAAAAGTGGTGCGAAAAGCTCATATAGTTTTCAGTCATCTAAACACCGGCAAACACTACGGTTATAAGAGATTTTACAAATTGTTGATAGCATAAAAGGCGAAGTATGTTGAGCGCTAGTATGCGGGTTTACCAGCAATTTCAGCAATTCTACTCCTGTTTCTTTCACAGTATCATACCATATCTAACTTGGATGAATTTCCTTAAGTAGAGCTCAATTTTATGCCCCAAAAATGGACGATAACGTGGACGAATCCAGAAAATAGAAAGATTTCCGATTCCTAACTTGCACCGTGACAGTTCCTTCTGATTAGCAACAGTCTCGTCACCGAACAGAAGGGGCTTGAGACTCTATGGCAAGCTTGTAATAAGCGACTTTCACATTTAGTATAGAAAAGAAACGTTAAGTTTTTTTTCTAGATCTACTTCGTTGAGCGACTTTTTACAAATGAAGCGTTCCATAAAATGTTATGATTTTTGATGAAAAAATATCAGCGTAGTTAACTTTGCTGTTTTCTATTGTAATTTTAGAAAACATATGGCTATAGAGAGACACTTGAGTCAACACAGACTTGGCTTAGTCAAAGAAGATAGTCGGAGAAAAGTATAATTTCTTTATGGCAAACTTCTGATATACATCAAATAAAGTGATGTTCTTCTTCGTTTCAACATACTAATACCTTTTCCTAGACAGCTGCCAAAGTGCTCGTATTTACAAAGCTAACATTTTTTCTTTATCAGCTCACTACGAAGCAATTCACTGAGATTGGCGGAAGCCTCTTATCAGAATAGGTTCTGCAATTTCGACAAATTTGCGCAGCATATGTAGATGGCATTTTGGAAATACGTATGCACTATTTGACTTTATTGTTATAGCTCCCTCTCCCCAGCCTCGCGAATATTCATTCAGCATTTTTGCAGGTAGTTCATCAAACATGCAGGTAGTTCAGCAAAAAAAAAGCTGAGTAGTGACCGCCTTGTACGATTGTAATTAGCAGCAGCCTAGCCAACCTTTTAAAAATTCAAGGGAAATAAAGAAATAAATGATCAACTCATACAAAAAGCCTTATATACACCCTATATATTCAGTACACCATTTTGGGACGTTTTGCATACGTTTAAATCTTTAGATTTCCTCCAAATCTCAGGCCATATCTTTTGCTTCTCTCAAATATACAAATTATTCTGAATGAAAAGCCTGCATAAAGCTTTCGTTTGCTTGGCATCGTTAATCAAGGCTGTAGAACATCTGATCTCTTTCCAGAAAAGATCATGCTTTCGCTTGTTAGGTTGCTGATGCTGATGCTCCTCCTATCGCAAGTTATGGTGGGGGCACAAAATATAGTTTGCACCTACGCTAAAAAACAAAATGCTAAGTTATTCTGCACTGTGGAATGCAAAGCAAAAAAAGTAAGTCTTGGTTCTGTATTCTAACGCAATAAATCGCTTTGCTTCAGAAGTGCGGAGGCGACTGCAACAAAGACGGGTTTTGTGAATGTAGCAACTGTCCATGACCATAGAAGCCAGGACGAATTTTCGAAGGGTCATCCCTGTTGAAAACGTTTACATAAACACTTCAGCATTCACATACGACTTTACTGAATAACATCTGTAGTTCATTTTGAAAAATAGTTCTATCCACTAGAGGCTTATAAGAATCTTGTTAATGTACCATTCAACATCAAGGTCAAGCTTAGGTTTCTAAAATCTCAAGTGGAAACCATTCAAGGCTTTGGTTGAGATACAGGTGAGTTATGGTCTTACATGGGAAGCTGGTCATGTGTTCTCGAGTTGAGGACAAGAACTCAGATAATCGCAGGGGCAGGCGGTCCGCAAACTCGTGCTCTTCTGCAGGCGGTCAGCAGAATTTTGGGGCGTGGCCAAAACTTTAGCGAGCGGTACTTATGCAGGCGTTAAATTCTGCAGGCGCTCGTCAGATAATCTCTTTCAGCAAACGCTAGCCGAACTTTCAGCAGGCGCTCGGACTCTTTTTACGCATTTTCGGGCGTACGCCGAGAAAAGATGAGACTCTGTTGTGGCGGAGTTGTCACCGTTGGTTTAATTACTCAAATTTGAGGTACTTTCTCTCAGCGGAAAGTACCTGAGGGCTGCGCGGTCCTCCACAAAGGATTGTGCAGCTCTCGAAAATTTTGCATACTCTCGCGGAAAGTCCGCGAGAATGCGGCCACTGCGCCGCAGCTAATCTATAAGGAAACCGCGATTGTTCTCCAAGCATTCGTCCACAATTTCGCTAAAATTTTTCCAAATATCTGCAAGCGGACCGCAAGAAATCAGCGAACTTCCAAGTCCCGTTTTCATAAAACCTGGGCATGTTCGTGTCTTCAAATTACTTCTGTGCCACACAGGTTTGGTAAGTGGTCTTTATTTCCAATCTCACGGCCCAACGTTTCGACGCCTTCGTCTTCCTCAGAGGCCGGAAGACCACCGATATGCGAGAAGTCCGCACCGGAAGTGAGTGGTCGCGGCGGCCGAACGTGCGGACTTCTCGCATAACGGTGGTCTTCCGGCCTCTGAAGAAGACGAAGGCGTCGAAACGTTGGGCCGTGAGATTGGAAATAAAGACCACTTACCAAACCTGTGTGGCACAGAAGTAATTTGAAATCAGCGAACTATTTTTCCGGTGCCCGCCCGCCCCTAAATCGCATGGCCGTCTGCCCCCGACGATTATTTGAGTATTAAGGACTAACAAGGGAATGGTCAAAAGTCGAAGTGGCCAATTCATACAAGCTGCATGCCAATCGATGCAGCACAGAATGCTGATTTCAAAAGTGCCTTCCGTAACTGCAGAGCGCCTTTGTGGGCGAAGTTATGAGCAGCTTTACTGCGGAAAAATCGTCCACAAAAACTGCGAAATTGGGCAGATCACTGCTCTTTTAGCTCACCTTTAGGTACGAGCCATATGAACTGACCTAGTTACACGTTTTGGTCCAACACTGAGCCGAAATTGGCTTTGTACGGCCAAGTTTGACCTTTACACGCACAATTTCTTAGCAAAATGATGACATTTAACGGCTTATAACTTCGCCTACAAAAGCGCTCTGCAGATAAGGAAGACAGATCTGAAATCAGCATTCTTTGCTGCATCAAATGGTATGCAGCTTGCTTGAATTGGCCACTTCGATTTCTGACCATTCCCTTGTAAGTACGAACTGCGCTTTGGGCAGAATCTCACCTAGGCTCTTCCAATGAGTTTGCATGGATTAATATCTATATTTGATCTATCTGAAACAGCATTAGCACTATCGCTCGAACTACACTGCACTCAATGTGTTGTATGACAGATTTCGTATTTTAAATTGCTTGATCTGGGTTAATTTTGATTTGGATCTTTGTTATATGAACGTTCGAATGTAAAGAGCCTCACCAAAATTCAAGAAATTCTATGTTACCTTCATTCAGATGTAGTTTAATCGACCTTGCACTTAAGCTTAACTCTTCTGGGCTAAGTGCATTGCTTATTATAACCTGCAATCACCGCTGAATGTGAAGATCACAACGCCAACTTTTCCAAGTCTTCAAAAACTGTCAGGAAGGGTGCGAAATATCTCCTTTTGAAGGACGTCTAGAAAGTGGTGAACACTTACTACGAAAACGGCAGTAAGACTTAAAAAATTCCGCAGTCACTATTTTGTTTTCGGTCTTAAGGCGTTCCGCTCACCGTCGTTACTAAAACACCAGCTGATTGATTCCTACTCCCCGCATAGGTAACAAATTTTACGGGTGTGGTTTTTTAAGATTACATTTTGCCAAATCTGATTCAATAGCTCGACATAATACAAAATTCTAGGTTAGCCCGAAAATTCTTTCGCACCAAATTCAGAAATTCGTAACTTCTGAATTTTCCAACCGATTTGACTGTATAAGTGTAATTCATGATCTTTATAATGACATCTTAGCTGCTTACCAATTATCATATATCGCATAGGTAGGAGCGATAGAAGAAAATTAGTCAAAATCCGAATTTTCTGTGTAGGGTGATAAAAAATCTGAAACTTGCAATAAATATCTGAGCAGTTGTTATTATAGGTTCTATCACTTGCTCTTTCTAATTGTGCAAAGCATGTGCTGATTGAACGTCTCTATCGGAAGTTATGATTTCCGAGCAAACAATACAAAAGGGCGAAATTGATTCATTTTGGCATTTTTCAGGTAGGGACCATAACTTTTCACAGAGACGCTCATTCAAACTTTGCACTGTTAAAAGAGCTTGTAAAAAAGCCTACAACACTGACTGCTCCGATTTTTATCGCAAGTTTCCGATTTTTTATGACCCTTTATGAAAAATTCAAATTTTGAATGATTTTGGTTTTGAGCTTTTATCTCTTTCATTTGTACACATTAACGAATAGCTCAGGAACAGATGCAAAGAGCATGGGTTCCTCTCTTAAGCAAAATTTTGATCGTACAAATTCGTTGGGAACTTAAGGAGTTATAATTTTTTGAAAATGGTGCGAACAAACTTTTGCACCAACCTAATATTTTGCTGTTCCATCACTCCGCCATGTTGTCGCCTGAGTTACCGAACATACAGTAAAAAGACAGTGATATTCACTTTTGCGTAAAGAAAAGTGTTGCACTGGCAATTTCCTTAATGATGCCCTTCGAGTTTTCAATGTCAGGTCCGCACAACATTTCAGGCCTTGGTCAGCAACAAGCAGTTGGCATCATTTGTTATCTTAGTAAGAAAAAGCATTTAATATCGGTGCTTGGCACTTTCTAAATTTATGGAAAGCTGGTGCGAAAAGCTCATATAGTTTTCACACTACGGTTGTAAAAGAGATTCTACGATGTTAATAGCATTAAAGGCGTAGTATGTTGAGCGCTAGTATGCGGGTTTACCAGCAATTTCAGCATTTCTGCTCCTATTTGTTTTTTCACGGTATTATCCTTATCTAACTTGGATAAATTTCCTTAAGTAGAGTTCAATTTTATGCCCCAAAAATGGACGATACGTGGGTGAATCAAGGAAAATAAAAAGATTTCTGATTATTTATTAGGTTGGTGCAAAAGTTTTGTCAGTCTTTTCAATCCATCGGCAACCACGCTAGAAAGAAGATAAACAAACAAGTCAAAATGTATCCAATGCAGAATTTCTTCTTTTTTCCAGCAGCTAAACTACCATTGTGTTTCGTCAAGAGAATGACGAATTTGCTGGAAATTACATACTTTTTACCATGTCCAACTTTTGCTAATTTTCCAAATTTCTGTAAGAGACTTTCGAAGAAGCGCTAATAACCAGCAGACAGGGCAAACCATTTGCCAACAGATGCAATTTTTTTGTAGCCTTACAGCTTGTCTTCCAGAATTACTACGATATATTTGAAGTGACCAAATTTTACATTCAGCCTATTTTAACCTCGTAAAACATATAGTGTTGAACATTTCAGTCACCATTCGATGGAACTTTTCCTCCTTTTTCTAATACTTGTCTTTTTTTTGCCAAACAGGCGAAATTTGTGGGGAATCGCAGTAATTCTCAACTTCAGAAGTGCTCACAGACGTAGCCTATGTTTCAAAATCTTCGTAATTTGAAGCGGAAACCGCTCATTTACTTTGTTATGGTAGCGTTAGTAATAATCGAGTGTTGTTATCTCAATATTATGTAGGTTTCGCCGTGTTTGGTGCAATAACAGGTTATGCGATTACAACACAAAACTTTTAGAAAATTATTCGGCAAAATTCTGAAAAAGCAGCTGAAAAAAAAAAGAAAAAAATACATAGGTTGGCAAAAGGCTTGCCCTATTTACTGGTTACTAGGGCCTATCCGAAAGTCTAAAAATTTTGAAAGTTAGTGAAAGTTCGACATGGTAAAAACGAGTGGTTGTAATTTCCAGCATATATCTCGTCACTCTCGCAACGACACACAAAGTGTGTTTAGCATTTGGAAAGAGGAAGAAATTCTGCATCGGATACATTTTGAAGTATGGTTCATCTTCATTCTAACGTGTTTGCCGATGGATTGAAAAAAACAACTTTTGCACCGACCTAATATTTATTTATTTGATTTATTTATTTATTATTATTATTAATTCTTGCACGGGGACAGTTCCCTCTGATTAGCGACAGTTTCCTCGTCACCGAACAGAGGGGGGGAGGCTTGAAACTCTTTGGCAAGTTTGTAGTAAGCCACTTTCATATTTAGTATAGGATATTAAAAAATCAAAATTAAAAAAGCTAAAGCTAAGCTAAAATTTCTTCCTACCTCTACTTCGTTGAGCGAGTTTTTACAAATGAAGCGTCCAATAAAATGTTATGATTTTTAATGAAAAATAACAGCATAATTGAATTTGCTGTTTTCTACTGTAATTTCGGAAAACATATGGCTATAGAGAGACACCTGAGCATAGGTGCGATAGGGAGAGCCGGGCTCTCCCCAGGTGAGGGGGGTCTCGGCTGTTCCCGACCTTCCAGGGTGAAGGGGGTATGTGAGTCTAGGGGAGGGGGAGGAAGAGAGAAAAGGTAAAAAAAGCTTGGTCTGAAGAGCTCTGATTTG